GAAGGCATCTCGGTCGTGGTGGAGCTATGTCGGTCGGGATATTCCCTACCACAAGCAAAATCTGGGTGCGTAACATTCTAAAAGAAGTGGGTGTTGAAGTGAAGTTACCGGTAGATTTGTGGTGTGATAACTGTGCTGCCATACACATCGCAAATAATTCGGTCTTTCACGAGCGGACGAAGCATATTGAAGTGGACTGCCATTTTATACGGGAAAAAGTGGAGCAAGGACTAATATCACTTACACATGTTCGGAGCGGTGATCAACTAGCTGACATATTCACGAAAGGGTTGTGTAAGAATCGGGTTTCATATATATGTAACAAGTTGGGCATGTTTGATATCTATGCTCCAACTTGAGGGGGAGTGTTAGTAGGTTGTTAGAGGGATTCTCCTAACTACACATTTGAAATTTAAAATGAGTGGTTAGGAGTCTCCATTGGCTTGCATATAAGCAGAGGCCTTCTCTGTTCTCTGTACTGGATCATTCTATCAGAATATAAACATACACACTTCACTTTAGAGTTAAACAAAGCTCTTAGAGTTCTTTTTCTTTTCTCACTTGAAGATTTCTTTTAGTATGCTCTGTACCAAATGAGATTTTTGCTCTTTGTATTATTGCTTTCTTGCTCGTTGGTTCCCCATCTTCAAGTCTTCATATCTTCATCATTTTATAGCTGGTAATGAGAATCTGCCCGTTGGAAAGAGACGATCTCATTTTTGAATTCTTATATCTTTTGTCAAAGATCTTATCTTATCTTCTGGCAAAGTGTCAGAAGAGATAAGCTAGCCGTTGGTAGAGCTTCAACTTCATGCAAATGAGTTCCCAAACTTCATCTGATATTCTTCTGGTTTTCTCACGTTTCTTGGGAATATCTGGGTCTTAGTTTTGTGTAGAATGGCTTCTCTGATCAGCTCTGAAGTGGTTCTTGTTTCTTTGGGATTTAAATACTTCAAAATATTCTTCAATTTAATCTCATACTAGGTAGACTAGTATTTTTCCTTGTGAGAATATTTTTACTATAAGTTTTTCTTCATCCTCACGTCTGGGTGTTCTCAGACTTCAAACTGGCTTTGAACTTCATCCCAATTTGAATTTCTCCTTTGTAATTGATACCCAATTGCAATTGACTTGTAATTGGCACCCAATTTGAATTTCTCCATTGTAATTGGCACCCAATTGACTTTGACTTGTAATTGGCTCCCAATCTACTCCTGGTGCTTCAATTGCTTCCCAATTTGAATTATTTGACTTTGACTTCGAAATTGGCTCCCAAACTTCTCCTGGTATTGAATTTCATCTCAATTCAATTTGATCTAAATGTCTTCTTTGAATCGATCCCCAATTTGAAATAATTTGAAATTGCATCTCAATTCAATTTGATCTCAATGTCTTCTTTGAATCGGTCCCCAATTTGAAATAATTTGAAATTGCATTTATGCATTGGCTCCCAACTTCCTCTGTTTTTCTCTTTTGCAATTTAAATAATTTCTCGATCATGGTCTTAGACTCTACTAGACCTATGAAATAAAATTGGGGGTTCTACAAATACATATTTGGCATATCAAAACCATTACACTTTATTCCTAACAGTTTCATTCTGGGAGGTTTTTGTGCAGTGGCCGGGCCCTTGTGGCTCAGCTACATGTCGTTGCGGGCCAAGTGTCACGAGCCCTTGTGGCTCGATACCTCAGGACCGTCTCGACGCACGTTTTGGCTTTGATTTTGTTGAATTTGGATCAAAAATGAGTATGTTATGATGGATTTATTGAAGAAATTGTTCACAGTATAAATTGTTAAGTTCATTGTGTATAAGAAATGCTTGGATCTGTGATCTGATGTTATTTTTGTATTGAGTAGAGAAGCATGATCACTTGAGAATATGATTTATTATGAAAGCATGACGAAAATGTGATATTTGAATGAGTTTTGAAGCATATTTTTGTTGATAGAAATGTAGAGAATTTGCTATGTTGCAAACCGAGTATGATATGGTATCCTTGAGAATTTTATGGAGTTTATACATGGTTTTGGAGCATGTTGTAGAGTATTTTTCATCTCACATATATCATATTTCAAAAATGCATAAGGGGCCAACGTGAGCCCAAGTATTACTTTCAAAAATCCATAAGCATGTGGTATATCATTATTTGATGCATTGAGAAGCTGTAGAGTTGTTGCATGCATGAGATTGATGCATGAGAGATATATTTATGTATTATCTATATCGGTGAGGTTTTGGAGGACCCCGTTTGGACTATGTCCTCTCTGATGATTTTATGGACATTGCGGTCCCAGTATATGTAACGCGGCGTATTCCCATGTTACGAGGTTGGAAATTTCCCGCCAGGCTTGGAATCCTAGTCAGGGGGTGTGCACGCTAAAAGTTCGATACCTGATTCCACAGAGTTTGAGCATAGAACTAAGAGAGTGGTTCGGTGGACGGGCAGAGTATTAGGTCGGCTAGACGCCGTGCCCAGATAGGTTCATTCACACTATGATGAATTTCCTACCTCGTCCATTCAAAGAGAAAGTATGAGTCATTTGGACTCTAAAAGAGAAAGAATGAGTCATTGCGACTCTAAGAAAGAAAGAAGTGAGTCATTGCGACTCTAAAGAAAGAAAGAAAGAAAGAAAGCAAGTCATTTATGACTCAATGAGACCTTCACAGAAAGTACTGTATTTTTACAACGAGTGTATGAGTATAGTATTGCACGAGATTGCATATGAGTATATTTATAGCATTGCACGAGATTGCATATGAGTATAGTATTGCACGAGATTGCATATGAGTATAGTATTGCACGAGATTGTATATGAGTATATTTATAACATTGCACGAGATTGCATATGAGTATAGTATTGCACGAGATTGCATGTGAGTAAAGTCTTGCTTGAAATTGCTTAATGAGAATGTTGATTTAAGATTGTATATCGAGCATGATTATTTTGTTACATTTGAAGTCTTGTGTATCTAGTTACATGATGAGAACTTATGAGCATGAGAATAACTTCCGTATGGTTTATTAGCATGATATTACTTGTAAGCATGAGTTGCTTGATAAGTTTGTTGTGACATTTATATGTTGAAATATCTATATTGTTAAGTCTTTTGTATCGAAGCATGCCTGTTGATATTATAGGTTGCAAGCATATAGAAGTATGTGATATGACTAAAGTTGCCTATGAGATAATTTTGTTGCATACTAATGTTATCAAATGTTTTCCAAAATATATTCTATAGTAGTTTACAAGGTTGAATATGGTTATACTTAGCTTCGTGCTAACGGCTGTTTTCCTATTTGTCTATGTGTTGCTTGTAAAACCCCTTTCAGGTGGGCCCAGTAGTGAGAAGTGATCGAGTTAGACTAGTCTTTTAGATTGAGATGTCTAAACTCTTTATGTCTTGTTTATGTCGTATCTATCGGATGTTAGACTTATGATATTTTGTTGTTTTTTGATGATGTAGAGACATCGGGTTGTGTTTATCCCCCTTATGCTTTATTTAAGTTGATGGATGGTTAGTTATTTATTGATTTTCTAGTTCTACCCTTAACATGTGCAATCACTACGGAGTGGTGGTTGTGGCGGTGACATTCCCACTAGTTATCTTATTTAAGTTATTTATCCGCTGCTTAGTTATGTTAATTATAGATTAGAATTGTAATTACGTTTTAGAAAAAGTGGGGTGTTACAAGCCCTCACAGAGGTGATGCTCGGGGAGGTGCTTATCACTAGAATGCTCGGAAGTTCTTGATCGTCACCGGTTGACCGGTGATTTTCCACGCTCGGGAAAAAGCGCACTAATCATCTGCTCGGGAAAGGTCGACATTTAAAGTGTTTTCTTTCGCAACTTGACCCGACCTCAAGCTCGGGGTCGGGGACGGGACTGACTGGGTGGTGATGAAACGCTTAATACGCTTGCGTATTCTGAAAGATCAACTACGCAGAGTAAGATGATCCAACGCTTCATATCTTTCGTTAACAGCCTGCGTCTTTTCTTTCCGCTTATCCTCCGTGCATGTAATGGACTCTGTACCCATGATTTTTCAGCCGACAAGACGTAAGTGGAAGGCATTAGTCTCGTTTCTACTTTCTTGGTTCTGCCACAAACCACCTCCAATCAAATTGCATGCATTAGAAATTTCTATTTTCTTTTCTTTTAAATTCCACCGCCACTTTCCCCCAGATTTCCTTTGCCAATTCATGCCACCACCACCCACAACGACCAGTAAAATTACGGAGTATATTTTGCTTGTCTCCCCTCTGTTTATTGCACTTCATCACCACTAACCAGAAGTAGCTCCATTTCCAGCGAAGCTTTCCTTGCTGTCTTGTTGCTGATGAAGTATTTACTTTTATTTGCTGATTGCCAAAACCCAAATCTGTGATTATGCTCAACCTCTGTCTGTTCAATGGCGATCATGAATCTTAGCACTAGGCCTTTCGATGGTGATGACGGAGTTGCGGCGGGGCAGCTTGACCCGTCACCTTTGACTTTGACCCACCGATCGGGTCCCGAACCGCTTTAACCCCGACTTAACTATAAAACAGGAACTCGGACGTATAGGGCATTCGGACCCGGGGTATATAACCTATCAAAATATATACTGCTATTTCATTTCAATACAACTACAATATCATTTTGATATAACTACAGTTTTGCTGGACAATATACACTCAAATATGTGAAATTGTTATTGAGTTTCATTTTGTATACACTACAGTTTCATTTCAATTCAATTGCAATTTCATTTGATAATATAATAAAAATAATACGTCAAAAAGTGTCAATTTAAATACACTCTAATGTCTGCCGTTTTGAACCATAGTCTATAACGTTTTGTGGACCGCGATCCACATTATAATTGCTGACATTCAGCCGTAGCCCAATTCAAATCTCTGGCCTATATTCATAAAATACTGAGTCCATGTGTTTTCCATAAAATGGGCCCAAAAGGCTTAAAGTCCAATACCAATATTACAAACACACCCCAACTTATATATACCTCTCTTCCACATTAGCATTCAACTAGGGTTTAGCTTCTTCTTCGCAGGCGCCACCGTCACTCTCCGCCGTAGCTCCCGTTCTGCAGTCAAAAATGGTTAAGGGACGTCAAGGAGAGCGCGTCAGGTTGCCGTTTCTCCTTTAACTTTACGAAAGTTCTCATTTCTAGTCTCGCATTTTGTCTTATATTTCTTTCGTACTTTTCTGCTCGCAGACTTTATATCAGAGGGACGATTCTCGGGTACAAGAGGTAATGCACCGAATTCCTGTTCTGATCTTAAATGTTTTTGGTTTTATTCTGTTCGAGAATTTTTGATTTTTGTGTGTGTGTGTGTTAATTTGGGGATAGATCGAAGTCGAACCAGTATCCAAACACTTCCCTGATTCAGATTGAGGGAGTGAACACTAAAGAGGAAGTGGATTGGTACCAGGGAAAGCGCATGGCGTATGTCTACAAGGCTAAGACCAAGAAGGGCGGGTCCCACTACCGTTGTATCTGGGGGAAGGTCTGTCGGCCACACGGCAATAGCGGCGTCGTCAGAGCGAAGTTCAAGTCCAACTTGCCGCCTAAGTCCATGGTGCGTTTCAATTGTTCGACTTGTTCAGTTTAAGCACTGATTTTGCATTGATAAGAATGTTTTGGGGCTTTCTATTTTTCTGTTGTTTATAATTTGTTTTTCCCAATTTTGTAGGGGAACAAAGTTAGGGTTTTCATGTACCCAAGCAACATATAAGGTATTCCTAACTATTTTTATCATACAATTTGTTGCTTGTTGGCATATTAAGTTCTTCTAGTTGTGAACTTGTGAAATTTGTAGCCCAGAATAATGTGCAGATAGATCAGTGAAACAACTTTTGATGAGTCTTCTGTTTATTTTTTTATTGTTTAAATGTGGGATTTGATAGTTATGGCCAAGGAGTGATGAATGTGGTTTTGATTTATTTTGGCAAATGAGCATTGTCAGGGATGCTGCAGGGACATGTAAATTCTCACAAATTGTTGTTAAAGTTGCATTTTATTAGCATATATTTATATCTGTATTGCACTTGACTGTTTGCTATGCATCAAATTGTAATCTGGCTTAGTGAAACATCATGTAATGTCATTTATGATAACATTTCGTCAGTTAGTATCTTATGTTTCATTATCTGAAATTTCCAGTCTTGATCATATTATCATTGCGTATTGTCAGCTGCTCATGCTGGCACATTATGTAGTTCACAATTCTTAAAATTTCGTACCTGGTTAAGAATAAGAATGTATGCCGGGTTAGCAACTTGAAGTAAATTGTATTTCTTATGTCTGCACCAAATTCCTTTGCTGTTCTTAAATGATGATGTGCTTTGTTCATATTTAGTTTGTGCTATCTCTAAATTTTATGGATTTGCTTGTTGTTAACCTTTAATCCTTGTACCCTGACTGCAGAGAAGAGAAGATGAAGATGAGAGTTGTAGCGGGTTTTGGAGCCTAATATTTATATAGTAGTCAAATTTGCCATGTTCTACTCTTTTTTGTTAGACAATGTTGGAGTTGTACGAATGAACATATATGGTCAAATGCAACTACTTTTGGTCATTTGACATCCTTTTTGACTGTGTTTGTGTTTTGTTCATTTGAAATCCTTATTTTCCATAGTGTTTTCTCATTTGTTCAGTGTTTTTAACTACTTCTCTTTCTTTCTGCTTGTTTTTTGGTCTCAATGGTTTATGAGAATAACCATGTTAGGGGTGTTTGGAAGGAGAGTTATTTGAGCCGCCTAGTGGGTTTCGAATTTCATCACTGTTAATCCGGAAATGAGTTTTACCAATTGTCCAATTTGTTTTGTGTATACTGTTGGAATCATCGTGTGAAGTAGAGTACAGTTTGATGTGAGCAGTAGAGTACAGTTTGATGTGAGCAACTAGACGTGATTTGTGTTTTCATGGATTTAGGGATGAGTTTATGCGTTTATGATATAGTTTGATAGAATTGGAAAATCGAAATTATAACTAAAAGGAAGCAGAAAAGAATAGGTTTAGTGTGAGATTGATCACATGAATAATTATTGTAAACTTGATTATTTAAGGAGATTTATTTAATTTTATATTTGATATAAAACTAGTAATTCACTCGTGTGGTGCATGAATTAAAAATTATACTGATAGGGAATTAGGGATTATACTTGACATATACGGGTCGGCCCGATCAACGCGTGCCCTTGCCAACGCGTGCCCTTGCCTTTGCTCGGTCAACCAGTCATCTACCCTCGTACCTGTTGGTGGGGGTCATCCAGCCCGGTCACTGCTCGCCCGAGCTTTGTCCGTCCGCCCGGTTGTCTGTCTGGCGCTCGCCGCCCAAGCGTCCCCTCCGGTGTTAGTCGATGACCGGGAGGAGTGACCGTCGGGACCCGCTGCCTACCTCGTCCGGATCAAGGGCCCCGCAGCTGTCAGGAGATGCAAGCCACGTGCATGACTGCATGTTCGCCTTCCCGGTGTTAGTCGATGACCGGGAGGAGTGACCGTCGGGACCCGCTGCCTACCTCGTCCGGATCAAGGGCCCCGCAGCTGTCAGGAGATGCAAGCCACGTGCACGACTGCATGTTCGCCTTCTTGAGACTCGATGCATGGACGCCGCGTGCCCGCCATGCCGAAAGACCGGGCCCTGTTCCATAGGCCCTCTATAAATGCTTCATTTATTGCCTTAGAGTAGGACTTTTGACCTACTTCACACATTGTACTTAGGAGGTTCCCGGTCACGTTATTTGATCGATCAACCCTTTATTCTACTGCACAATACTATGAAGGTTTAAACTACATCATATACATTCGTAAGTTAGCACAAATTAGTATAAAGTGTAAAGCATGATTAAAAAATTGATATTACAAATTATTGAATACTTTGTGGTAAATATTTGTAGTTGAAGTATAACTCATTTTACCTCAACTACAATTCAAAATTTTTAGACAGTTAACGTACAATTGGCTATGTGCATGAGATAGTGTTTGGAGGGAATTGTCATTCTTTGGAATTTGAATGACAATCTTGGATCTAATAGAATCATAGTCATTCTAGGTATTAACACCCAAATCTCGGAGTTGTTACCCGTCATTATTTTTGCTTCTACTACATGATCTTATAATTTGGTAATGACTAACCTAGTACCATTGTATAAACCAAGCGAGTGATCTATATTCTACAATAGCATTATAGGAGAACCCACCTTTAGTGTTAAACTGTTAATGCATGGTTACGAATACCCAATGTTTGCAAATCATTTAGAAACTCAAGAATGTACACATTTGCAAGGATACTATTACTTGAATCAAATTTACAAATTGCGTCGCAACTAAAATAAGTCTTGCTCTTGGCTACATGCAACTCACTCATATAATCATTTATGGAGTTAACAACATCAAGTGTTGGAGCTAGGATTGCCCAACTCTCCAAGTAGTTGTGATCATATTCACCATTCTTGAACAAATGTACTATCTACAATTGTGGCTATATAATCACCGGTAGAGGGCAATAACAGTTTATGAAAGATGTTAACATTTGCATAACCATCATTTGAATCTCCAATTTGTTTCCTGTATCTCTGATAGAAGTAATCCAGTTCGCTTAATCTTCAATTTATTGTACATTGAGAGGGTACCTAAAGATGTAAAAGTATATAATATTTTAAGAGTAATTAAATTTAAAAATTTTGTATTCGGAAGTAAAAAATAAGCACTATATATAATATAAACGAATAAATATAAATATAAAAATATATTGCTTTAAATAATATTAATTAAATCAAAACTAATTTAATTAACGGAAGATTAATAGAAAATGAATACCTTATTCGGACATATTCTAGTTGTTATATGATGGACGATGATCAAACACTGTATGGATCACGGTTCAATATGATACTTTTTATTTTTATTTTATGTTATTATCGTGAATTAATAGCGCATTATATTACAAATATGTATATTAACAAATGGATATGTATAATTAAAATGATATTTTGATGTTGGTATAGTGAAATTAGTATAGGTAAAAAATGAAACAAAAAAACGATTCCCTCCATCGAATCGGAGATTTTCTCTCCGGAAGGCTCCAATGTCAACATCAAGTCCACTCTCGAGTCTCGAGTCCCTCCTTCCTTCTTCGCCGTCAAAACCAAAGCCAAAATCAGTGACTTTGTCCGCTATGCTTTGCGGACTCCATCCACTTACGGTGAGCGAGATGTTGAGTCAGTTGGAAAGGCAGCCTAAAAATAAGGAGCGCCATATTGCGTGGCTTAAACACATTGAGCCACTATTGAATGGGGTTGGTATCTCATTTCAGGAGTCTTTTTCCTCTGTTCTTTGGATGGATGCATGCCAACAATGATGACACTGTATGTTCTATTGTAAGAAGTCATTGAATTTATTTGTACAATAGCAGTTAGGCAGGCATGATCACTTTCATGGAGACTAAGGTTAAATATATGACTTGCAATGACCAAGAAAGATTGAAGTTGAAAGATTGAAGTTTGACGATTGAAGATCAGACACAGAACTAACATTCAAGTGCTACAAAAAACACGAGTGTTACTTTCTTTAAGCCTGTCACAGAAACAAGCAACAAACTCCCCATTCATTCTCAAGACTCAATCCAGACAACTAAGTAAGGAACATGATCGAGGCTTATATGATATCTATATAAGGAAATTGTTGTTGGGATCTTCATCTCTAGGTGGAACTGCCAAGTATAGCAGCATTCTAGTTTCACACCTAGCTAGCTTGTAATATCAAATTTCTCATCACCCATAACTGTACATTGAGTGTTTATGTACTACTACTAGTGCCATCTCCTCTCAATACTTGGTTTCTCAGCTAATTCCCTTTGTGCAATTGCAATTTGTTCTTTAAAGTAAAATGTAAGGTGCAACTATGGAAGTTACATTAGCATTAGCAGTAGCAGTGAAAAGATACTTATCTCCAAAATCTGTGAGATTTTGTGATGGATGATACTCTGTGAGCCTGAGAAGTCAATCTGATACTTGAGTGTCATGTTTGGGTACATAACTCCCCAGTGCTGCCCTCTGCCATTGCCTTTCTCAGTCGTTTCATCAAACAGTTGATAGATATAAGTCTGAGCCACCCCTTGTTTCCTCAATGGAGTCCCCAGTCCTGATTTCAGGTGTGAAACCAGTCCCTTCAGGTACATCTCCGCATACAGCGGACTCGCATCCGGCATTGCTCCAGTTTGTTGATTGCTGCCGGCTTCGGAGCTAGGCCACCCGGTCTCCGTCACGATGATGGGGATATCCTCGTGGCCGGAAACCGTCATTGCCGTAATGACCGCGTCCACCATCATGTCGAACAGGTTGTGGTACCGGACTCCGGTGATGTCGTCATCGCGGAAGTTGAATGCTCCTTCGCGGAACAGAGCGAAGCCGGCGGTGATCTCCGCGTGGAACTTGTAGACGCTGTAGGGATAGAGGTTGACGAGGAAGGAGGAGTTGGTGTCCTCCAGGAACTGGAGCAGCGGTCTCATGATGATCGAGTTCACCGGCTCCTGGAACTCGCCGGACGAGGGCGGAAACGCCTGCGTGACGACGTTGATGAAGGAGAACGTGGTGGAGACGGATATCCAGTGGATACCTAAATCGCGGAGAGCGAAACGGAGGTTTCGCAGGGCGGAGACGAGGTAGGTGGAAGGATCGGAAGCATCGGTAGAGGCGGAGGAGATGACGTCAACTCCGACGGAAATGAGAGTGATGCGGGAGCGAGGATGGAAAGGGAGGACATGGTCGTAGAGCCAGAGCGTGGCGGAGCTGCGATTTCTGGCGAAGGAGGGAACCAAATAGTTGGGGACGGAGAGGAGGAGGGAGATGTTGGTGTATGAAAAGGCGCGGACGGCGGCGGGGGTAGGGTTAACGAGGCGGACGGCGGCGACGTTGAGAGAAGTGAGATAATTCGCCACCTGTTCCGGCGGCGGAAGGCCTGGAGAAGGAGTGTAGGTGAATCCGATAGCAGTGGTGGTCGGGGCGGCGGCTGAGGCGCGGTGGCTCTGGAAGCATAGTGAGAGAACGATGATGAGAGAGAAAACGAAAAGCCTTAGAGAGAGAAGGAAACGCATTTTGTATTGCTTTCTCTGCTCTGTAAAGAGAGAGGTTTTAGCAGTTATGGAGGTTTATCGTGGGAGCTCTGAATTCTGAAAAGTTGAAAGCGAGTTAACTCAGTCCTGACTCTAGAGCTTAGGCGCACGCAAGCAGCGCATTTTAGCATAACCTCTGTGAAATGCTCATTGCTCAGTTAGTTTGGTTAGTTATTTTTCTTTCGGTGTTTCGAGGTGCAGGCTGTACTGCTGAACCCGAGATTAGGTGCCAATAAAATGACTCCACGTCAGCGAAGCTGTTTCTCCATTCTCACGTGATGAAAAGCCTTCTTAAATTCGCGCCAAATATTTGGCCACTTGAACTCTTTCTTGGGCTTGCTTGAGATATACTATGGGCTCTTACTTTTAATGGGCCAACATTTCTTTACAAACTTTCATATATATACTCATGGAAACAAATTACGGACCAGAATCCATCTTGTAAGGTGAACCTTAGTATAAAATAACATTTAAATTATGTGTGTGCAGTTAACATATTATGTACTTATATAAACTTATAAATAAATAGAATGCACATAATTTAAATGTCGTTTTGGATTAAAATCTACACTACAAAGTAAGCACTGGTCCATGGTATAAGAATGGACTCTTGGACATCAACCAATTTTCTAGATGGAAAATGTATTTTCCCCATCCAGGTCTTCCATATTTTTCGACTTGCGTCACACTCACAAAATTTGATTTTTGTTCAGAAGAAATTCTAAAATAAGTCTTCACTTCGGTAAGATGATTTCACACAAATTTTTGTGTAACTTTTTTTTTTTTTTTTTTGAAAACAAAAAATAAATTTCAATTAAGCAAGATCTCGACAAAATCAACAGTAAAAAGAGAGAAGTGACAAGCCACTTTCCACAGCCAAGTTTTTTGTGTAACTTAAAATGTTATGTTTGATAAACTCTTTTTAATCTCGTATTTAATAAAAGAAGAGATACACCTTCATGAACTTTAGAAGAGGTACATGAATAAATAGTATCTCCAATTCCAAAAACGTAGTAATATTATATGAAGCAAATTGGTGAATACAAACAAAATAGAGAGGTGAGGGGTAGCTTAGGGATCACATATTCTTGTTTAGAAGCAGTAGTGCAGTGTCTGAGTCTTACAAATGAGAGATGCTAAACAGTTGTCTCCCTCCTCCATACAAATATATAATAAGCCTATCTATATATACAAATCACAACCCCACCTTTAACTGCCTATCAGACCAGTTGCCACCCTCAAACTTTTCTTCTTAACTCACCAACATCAACACATACAACTTCTTCTTCTTCTGGAATTGAGTGTCCACAAACACAAATCATGGAGACTGGTATCACATGCTTTGCACGTGCAGCTCTCCTCCCAAATGTCACCTCTCAACATTCATCTTCACTAGCTACTCCAGGCTGGTCCATTTCTCCATCTTTCAGCACCAAGGTATGTATGTATATATGTATGTATATATGTGGCCCTGTTTCGTAAATAATGAATGTTAGCTGATTGGGTTAGAGGGTATGACTAGTTGATAACATTAGTTGATTATAGAAAGATGTTTGGTAAATTAGCTGTTAGCTTATAGCTGTTTGGTATAATTTCTTTTCTCAAAAAACTAATTGAAACAGTTGCTTTGTGTAGCTTTTTGAATTTTAGCATTTTGATGTTACAAAAACTGATTAACCAAACACCTATATTGATTTTTTAACCAAGTCAAACTGCTAATAGTGGTCAAATAAGTTAAAATTTGCTGATAAGCTAACTATTTTACCAAACAGGTTATGTATGTATGTATGTGTTACTCTCTAGCATAATTTCTTCAAGAATCCTGCCATCTTAATTATCTGCATGGATGGTATAATTGAGATGAATGAAAGATTAGAATCCAACATGAATCTACCTAGTTATATACATCTTTCTGCACATGGGAACTACAAGAAGGGGAGAAAATGAAAGAATCTTTAATGTAAAGATAATTGTATATATGTTGACATTCACAAAACTGTTATGGCAGAGTTTAAAGAGTTCGTTATTCGGGGAATCATTGCGCGTTTTGCCCAAATCTTCACTAAATGTTGTGAAGACAAGGAAACACTCTTCTTCCCCAGTGACCAAGTGTGAGATAGGTGACAGCCTGGTGAGTCAGATCATATACATATATATATATATATAAATGTTAATTAGTTGATGCCATGTGAAGAAGAATGAGGTGACAGATGGAGAGAATTTGGTTTTTTATTTTAAGGAAGAATTTCTTACAAAGTCGACATCGGACAAGGGGCTGATCAGCCTGATGATATGCATGGGAGAGGCAATAAGAACAATTGCATTTAAAGTCAGAACAGCTTCTTGTGGAGGAACAGCCTGTGTCAATTCTTTCGGAGATGAACAGCTTGCTGTTGATTTGCTGGCTAATAAGCTCCTATTCGAGGTTTCTAGACTTCATATTTCATTAATCGTTATGATCTTTGGAACCATTTTATTACTAATTGTGTTTTCTTGTGGATATCTAGGCTTTGACTTACTCGCATTTCTGCAAATATGCCTGTTCTGAAGAAGTCCCCGAGCTCCAAGATATGGGAGGCCCAACTGAGGGTAAGTGTTTCTGAACTGATAATTTACTGCAAAAATGTGGTGCTAATTGGGTTAATTTGAACAGGAGGATTTAGTGTTGCGTTTGATCCACTTGATGGTTCCAGTATTGTGGACACTAACTTCACTGTGGGAACCATCTTTGGCGTTTGGCCCGGGGATAAGCTAACCGGAGTTACAGGGAGAGATCAGGTAGCAGCAGCCATGGGGATATTCGGGCCTCGTACTACATACGTTCTGGCTCTTAAAGATGTCCCTGGAACACATGAATTCCTCCTTCTCGACGAAGGTTGATCAATATACTGTTCTTTTCACCATTTGCTTCATAGAGTTGAACGAAAACTTTTTCCTAATGATCGATCGTATTGGGTGACCAGGAAAATGGCAGCTTGTAAAAGACACAACCGAAATTGGAGAAGGCAAAATGTTCTCCCCGGGGAACTTGAGAGCCACATTTGACAATGCTGACTATGCTAAGGTTTTTTCACTTTGTCCTATGTTATTTCTTGGCTATATATGAGTGTTCCTTTCATTAGTTTGAACTGAAATCGTTTCTTGTGACTGTGATAACAGCTAATTGACTACTATGTTAGGGAGAAGTACACCCTGAGATACACCGGAGGAATGGTGCCTGATGTAAACCAGGTGTGTTTTATCTTCAAAATTTCTAAATAAGTCTGGCGTAAGCTGGGAAACCTAATGTATCAAAACAAGAAATTTTTTTCTAAGTAAGAATACGCACTTATGAGATTATGAAACTGATAAAATGAATGGTGTCAAATGTGCAGATCATTGTGAAAGAGAAGGGAATTTTCACAAATGTGGTATCCCCATCAGCCAAGGCCAAGTTGAGGCTGCTCTTCGAGGTGGCTCCATTGGGGTTCTTGATTGAGAAAGCCGGGGGGTATAGCAGTGACGGGGAAAAGTCTGTGCTTGACAAGGTGATCACTAATCTTGACGACAGGACTCAAGTGGCTTATGGTTCCAAGAACGAGATTATCCGATTCGAGGAGACACTCTATGGATCCTCCAGGCTTAAGGCTGCTGAGCCAGTTGGAGCTGCCGCTTAAGTTAAGCATGACTGTCCGAGCCATTTCGCCCTCGTAACGTTTTGGTTTGTTTGTAAAACAACATTTACCTCAATGCTTTTGATTTGGAGTACCTACAGTGGTAGCACATAGTCACAGGGTTCTAGATTCTGCTGAAATAAAGAATCGAGCCATTTATTTATGGTGTTTTTTGTTTTCTTCTTCTTCTTCTTCTTCTGGGATAAATTAATCCAATGAAGTCTTTTCTTGATCTTCTCTACCCAAGAAAACAATTTTGGATGGACAAGTATGCTCTGCTGCTTCTAGATGCCACCTAGAATTTAGCCTTCTGGAAATGTATTATGTTCTTAATGAATGGTTAAGATCAGCAAACCAATTGTATTCTAGCTTCTTTTGCTTTATCAGGAAAGTGTATAATGGTATGACTTGGCACCAGCCAAAATGGGCTAAAAGTCTAAAACCTTAAAATCTGATTTGTACAAATAACTTAGTACTAATCAGGTTCCTATGATATGATCTGTCTGGATGTTAAACCAGCAAGATGAAAGTTAAACTTTTTCTTAACTTCTGATTATGATTATGTATATACAGTTCACTCTACTCACACTGCTCAGGAATAGTCTCAAATGCGCCATCTAAAGTTCTGAGTCAAGCGTGGGACAAAATGTCTAGGACAATCCCCGTCAAGTTGGTCAGACTGTTGACTTTACAATTACAAGTTCAACTCCCAGCGAAAGTGACTTATTGGCCTTATTGGTTTGAGCTAGTCAGCTCTGGGCAACCTACACTGGTTTACCTCCTTGTAGTCCTTTGCCAGCTAGGGTCAGTGCACACCCTCGGGTAGTAGCTACGAGTTTCCCTCGTCACTCAAAAAAAAAAAAAAAAAAAAGAATTCATGATCCAAAAAAACTTATACAGTTATGGTTAAAATGAATGTGAGGAATCATACATATTCTGATGCTTCATGAGTGTAGAGACAAGACAAATTAAGGTTAGAAGTAGGTTTCAAAGGAGCCTGGGATTCTCACATCTGTTGCAGTCAATGGGGACTTGTGTATTTGGAGAAATATACTCCCAAGCTTTATGTAAAATTGAAGATAACTCTAGAGTGTGAAATTGCATGGATGCTACCTTTACTCACCTAACCAGGTAAAATGACATTCCATCAATATATCATTGCATCTCCATCCCTCTATATCAATGCTTCTGAATTCGCTTATTCGGGTATGCTTTGGGTGCAAGATAGATCGTAGAAGCCAAGGGAAAGAGGAGCAATGGCGAGTCAGGTGCTTGCTATAGTGCTAGTGGTGGTAGTTGCTGCTGCTTGCACCTTCCCTGTCTCTGTCGAGTCCATGATTCGCCATTACAAGTTCACTGTAAGTACCTGAAAAAAGCAGAAAATGGTTCAGATAAAAGTGTTGTGATGAGCATATGTTAATCTGACGGTGCAGGTGGAGATGAAGAACACATCAAGATTGTGCGCGAGCAAGCCTATTGTGGTGGTGAATGGGAAGTTCCCGGGGCCTGTTCTGTATGCCAGAGAAGGCGATACAGTGGTCGTGAGAGTGGCTAACCATGTCCAAGAAAATGTTTCGATTCACTGGTATGAAACCATCCCTTTCTGGCTTTCTGCATCTTATGAATTCAAGAAAAAAAGGTTGTCTTTTCATGTTAATCTGTAGGCATGGAGTAAAGCAGTTTCGAACCGGGTGGTCAGATGGACCGGCATATATAACACAGTGCCCAATACAGCCAGGCCAAAGCTATCTGTACAACTTCACCCTTACAGGCCAGAGAGGCACTCTTCTGTGGCATTCACACATCAATTGGCAAAGGGCTACAGTTCATGGTGCCATTGTCATCTTGCCTAAGCTCGGTGTTCCTTATCCGTTCCCTAAGCCAGACAAGGAAGAAATCATAGTATTAGGTAAGGCCCTTTTGTAGTTTCGCGGTTTCTGTCTGTCATCTAGCAACAACGATCGATCAGTCGTTTCTATGGATGGTAGGAGAATGGTGGAATTCGAATGTCGAAGATGTGATCAACCATGCAATGCAGTTAGGGATTCCTCCAAATGTATCAGATGCTCACACTATTAATGGCCTCCCTGGACCAACTCCAACCTGTTCTTCAAAGGGTACTGAGATTCTTGATTTTTTTTGCAAGAAAAGAGATCTCTAACTCAGATTTGAAGACTAAAACTGGTTTATGCAGGGTATAATCTGGAAGTGGAGAGTGGGAAAACATACTTGTTGCGGGTGGTTAATGCAGCACTGAACGAGGAGCTGTTTTTCAAGATTGCAGGGCACAGGTTGAGGGTAGTTGAGGTTGATGCTACTTACGTTAAGCCCTTTGAGACAGACACCATTTTCGTCGGTCCAGGCCAGACCACGAATGCACTCCTGACTGCAGACCAGAAGGCGGGCAAATACCAGATAGCGATCTCGCCTTTCATGGACACCATAGTAGCCACTGACAACCAAACTGCGACGGCTACTTTAAGTTACAAAGGGACTCACCTGTTAGCCTCTACTGCCCTCACAATCATGCCCCTACAAAACGCCACGCCAGTGACAACTACTTTCACGGACTCCCTCAGAAGCCTGAACTCGAGACTGTACCCTGCAAACGTCCCGCTGAGTGTTGACCATTCTCTGGTTTTCGCGATTGGTGTTGGTGTCAATCCATGCCCTGCTTGCTCCAGTGGATCCCGGGTCGTTGCAGATATCAACAACGTCAGCTTTGTCATGCCTACTACACCTCTCCTTCAAGCTCATTACTATAACATAAGTGGAGTTTTCACAGATGATTTTCCCGGAAAGCCTCGAATTCCTTTCAACTACACGGGCACTCCACCAGCAAATATGCAGACACAGAATGGCACAAAGGTTTACAGATTGGGGTTTAACTCGACTGTTCAGATTGTGATCCAAGGCACTTCTATTATTGCACCAGAAAGCCATCCAACCCATTTGCATGGTTTCAATTTCTATGTTGTTGGAAAAGGACTCGGAAACTTTGATCCCCAAAACGACCCCAAGAAATTCAATCTGATTGACCCTGTCGAAAGGAACACAGTCAGCGTACCTACAGCTGGCTGGACTGCCATCAGATTCAGAGCAGATAATCCAGGCATGTTTTCCAAATCACAAAACTATTTGTTTTCACACTCGAGTCGGGCAAAATTCTAACTTGTATGTATTTGTTTCAGGTGTTTGGTTTATGCATTGTCATCTGGAAATCCATACAACATGGGGACTAAAGATGGCATTTTTGGTGGAAAATGGTAAGGGCCCCAATGAATCCATCCTTCCTCCTCCAAGTGACCTGCCCAAGTGCTGATGATGAGTTCAGACAGATAAATTGATTGATTGTGGTGGGGGTGTGTTCATATAATCATATCCAAGAAACATACAGATATGCTGGATTCCTGTATATGATTTTCTGATTTGATTGTATTCTGGACTGCCAAATGTGTATAGCAGATTCTTTTTAATTGAAATGTTATGTTGTTGATACATAATGAAATGGAAACTAGCCACAAGTCATGCTGGAATACACACAACACATTTCATAAGAGCCTCTCATTTCAGGGGCATTTGGCTCTATTCAGCGAAAAACGAAAAAGAAACAGCACAGGTTGTGTAAAGAGGCCAACTCAAAAGATCCAAAGCATCAAATATCAATCAATATTATGATCTAAAGGAGAACATCTAGAAATAGAAAAACAAAAACCCAAGTCATACAAAACCTCAAAATATCAGTCCAGATCACTCAGCTTCTGTCAGTATGACATTCAGAATTGCAGATGGAAACCCTGTCTAATGACATATCAGGTAAGATGCACAACTCAAATACAGGACAGGTTATGAGGAAAGAACAAAGTTTTGCTATTTTTTCTGGATTACTAATGAGCAATGATTTATTACACAGTGTAAGTCTAGTGAAAACTCAACATCAATGTGGAATAACCTCTCAAGAAAAAGAAAAAAAAAAAAAAAAAAAAGTATGGACAAGCACCTAGCAGAAGTGTGTAACCCAAAAGGAAAAAGAGTGTAAAGTGGTAAACGGCAGCCTATATTTACAAAACCTACTCAGCAAGAACTGTGTTTGGAGTCAAACAAATGACAGTTTTTGGAAAATCTGTTCTTCGTCCTGCAAGTGAATAATAACAGAGTATATGGGCGGGGTGATCAGTGACTACAGTTTGACCGTCATGATCAGTGGCAATAACTCGTCTTGCAGGGATCAGTTCAATATTCCAGAAAGGGCGTGCCATGATTGACAGATCCCGTCCAGTTTGAGATGGCCGAAATCCTTGTACCCACAAATATCTGAGAGATCTCAGCTGCAAGGCAGCCATAGCCAGTGCACGTTCACTGAAGCAACAACCCCTTACTTCAAGTTTTTGAAGGCTTGGGCACCCACTTGAGAACTGCAGAAGACCATTGTCAGATTCCCCTACATATCCAAGAAGCATCCACCTCACATTTGGGCTGTACTGCCCAATATATTTGAGACCTTCATCTGTTAGTCCCCCAGGTCGAAGATACAAAGCGAACCTTCTAAGTCCATGGCAACCTCTTAACAAAGACCGGACTCCTTTATCAACTGGAAGGTCTGTTATCCTTTCTTCTCGATCAAGCAACACCAAACGAAAATCACACAGGGATTTCATGTACTTCCCAATATAATCAAAAGCTTCATTGGTGATATCAGAAACATATACGGCCAAGTACTCTAATTCAAGGCATCCCTGGGCCAAAGCAATTAGTCCTGTCTGTGAAACTGAGCCTTCTTCATCCTCCATTTCTTGTTCATCAGCTCCTCGCTCAACCCTAAGCCTCTTTAACCTCTTGCAAAAGCGGGCAAGAACTTCTAATCCTCGATCTCCAATTACATTCCTTGTCTGTTCATTAAGTGCATTGTAAAAGGAAAAACCATATTAAATCACAGAACAATTCTCAAAGTTTTTTCTCCATCTTTAAGTCTTTCTAAGACTCTAGAGGAGGAATTTAGTAATCCAATGCAACAGTATGAATTAGCAATGAACTGAATGAAGTGCTTAACTGTCTAGGCTCAAAAATGTTTTTACTCTGAAGAAGATAATTCCATTTTTAGCATTAGATTCACAAATAGTCTATGAAAAATCATAAAAGCATAATAAAGTAGTATACATGAAGGATGAGTGCATGAAGGCCATGTGTATGGATAGTTGAGGATCCAAGCAACATAAAATTGAATTCAATTTTTAAAAAAAAAAAAAAAAAAGTTTAGAAGGGTTTCCATCTGATCCTTCGTAGAAAAATTGTCTAGAGAACACTACAATGAGTTTAATAAAGCAAATTGTTGCATATGAAAGAATGAGTGTGATGTGGTATTCATCATTGAAAACTATCACCTAGAAAAAAAAAAAAAAAAAGATGTAAAATGCTGATTCTTTCAAAAGAAGACAGAAAACAAGACAGGAAAAGCTTAAAAGATTTAACTAACCTCTAGAACTTCCAAGTTTATGCACTTCTCTAGTAAGAAGCAATGACTTTCTGTGTCAAGAAGTGCATAAAGGAGATCCAATCTTCTAAGACGACAAGTGATAGGGAAGAGAATTGGCATTTCATTTTTCCCCAAGTAAGTTAGGCCCAGAGAGCATAATCGTGGAGGAAATGATACAAGTTGCTCATTATAGCCATTTTCACCAACAGGTTCTTGTTGTTCACTAAATGAACCACCCCCAAATTCCTCCAATGAAGTTGCGGCTCGAAAGAAACCAAAAAGACTTGACATATCACATTCAGAAATTTTCATTGATACGAGGTGTGGACAATTCCTGGCTATCAATTCAATGTCCTCAGCTTTGACTTCGGTGAGCTCTGTCATGTAAAAATTCAAATTCTCAAGAACTGTATTTTTTGTGGCAAGTTCATGCAGCCACTCTCCATCCTTCTCAGATATAGTGCTTTCTTCAAGAACCAATGTTTTTAGGTTCCTATAGAAATGAAAAAATAACATGGTAAGTCATTTTAGATTTTTGGACTTTCCAGTAATCCAGGATATCTAAAACATATAGATACTCCAACCACATTATTTGGCCACATTAAAGCCGATAAAATAGAATTCAACAAAGAGAACAAGGAACAAAATCTTCATCTAGTTCATCCAAAGTCAAATTGCTTGCAGGGTTTAAAAATTCTGAAACTATCAGGGTTACATAAATGTCCAAGCAGGGTTCACAGTTTCAAAAAAAATTTGCCATTTATACCAATTTATGAAAAGAAAAGTGAAAATTAGCATAGTTTAAGTACACTCTGCCTCAAAAAATGATAGAATTGAATAGGCAATCTAGTTAAATATGAGGTAGCAAAAGAGTAGCTAAAGATGGAAAACAACCAGTAATAATATATCAGGTCAGTAAAAAACCATCCTGTTCACTCACCACAAAAGTCTTAAGGAATTTGTTATGCAAAATATAGCAAACTCTGCTAAATAGATGATATTGACATTTAGACTGGCTTAACAATATGAAGGACATTGTTATAAGAAAATCGCCATAACCATAGTTCAGAATTCAGCTAATACACATGGATATATGTATGTATTCAGTCCAATGCCATGTCATGAAAATCTTTGATGCTTTGAAACGTGTATAATAAAAGAGTTTACTCGGCAACAGTAGTGTGACAATTATGTCCAAAGTGGACAGATCCCTTGTCCGCACCGGCATTTTGCCTTGTCAGCTAAGCCACTAAGTTACCGTAATTTACATTTTTTCATGTGTGCTGGCGGGCCGGGACGTGAGGCCCTTAGTGGGAAAAGAATTCAGCAAATACACATGGATATATGTATGTATACACTTCCCAATGCAATGTCATGAAAATCTTTGATGCTTTGAAACATGTATAATAAAAGAGTTTATTATGTAGCCACAAATAAGCAATAATTGAAGAAATCACTTCATAGGTAAGAAAGAAGGAATTATCCCCCTTTCAAAACAAGTCTTGATCATTTTACCTAAAATCCCACAGCCTTAAAAAGAGTATTATTTACTTGAACACTAAAGAAGCAATGATTATTCATAGTAAATGTAATGATAATTCATCAATTTTATTTTACCTGCAGGAACGGGTAATATGAAAGAGGCCATCCGTGGAAAATCCGGAGCACTTGTCGAGCTTGAGAACCTGAAGAACCTTACCGCGCGTACGAGCCAGAAGCTCTAGATCGGAATCCTTAACAATCATCCGGCGGAAGTGGAGCGCCTTCAATTGTCCAAAAGAGCGCGCGATTTCTTCGACCCAGGGAGTGACGTAGCCGCCCCAATCCTCGGGGATGAGGTTGAACATTGCGGCGCGTGGCTTTCCCTTGAGCTTGAGCGACTCCAGGTGGGGGAAACGGCGGGAGAGCTGCTCCGGCGCGGCGGTGTAGCAGAGCGCCATGGTCACGTGCTTCCTGGTGATGGCGTCGATGTCGTACCAACTCTTGCACACCAGCGACACCGAGTCCCTGTCGCGCGATTCCTGTATGTAAGGTATCACTCGATCCCAAACCGTGTCGTACGCGCCGTTCATCCTCGTCTGGTCCCTCTCCTCCATGCTCGGCAACAACGAACAACTAAAGAAAATGAAAAAAAAAATTCAGTATCTCTGCGAACAGGAGTTGAGGAGCTGTGGCGGAGACGGATCGGAAGCCGGCGGTGGGGAAGCGGAGGAGTAAGGCGGCGACGGCGGGTGAAAGGAGCGGCGGTGGGGAAGCGGAGGAGTAAGGCGGCGACGGGGGGTGAAAGGAGCGGCGGAGGAGAAAGACAAGAGAGATGCTAAAAGGTGAGGGGGGAGTTGAGGAATTTGAGAGCATAAAACTGTAGGAGCATAGGATGAGGGCCACGTGGCAATCGGGGATTGATTAATGTTAGGGAGATTCAATTAACTGGAAAGCAGGAGATTCTTCACTCACTTTTTACTCCCAACTTCTACTATTATCCTTGTTTGCCACATCATGCCATTATAAAAAAGACATTAAAAAAATTAAACTTAATTATAATTTTTAAATACAAAAATCATGTTACATTTACATGACCATTTCAAGTTTAGTACACCCTAAATTTATAAAATTTGTTAATAAATAGACTTTTATTATTTTTTTTTTGAATACTACTGACTCTATTATAATGTAATATCTGTTCATAATTTCTTTCTCAACCTATTGAAGACAAAGAAATTTTTCTTAATTAATTTAGGTAAAATCCCCTCACTTATAATTCAAAGCATTTAGTGGGGAGGTAAATTCTATAATAAGATTTATCATAAAGAATATATCAACAAATAAATTAAAACAATAAAAGCTTTTGACATTTTTAGCAAGAATAAAGATGCAAGAATCCAATTCAAGTTGCAAAATTACATGCCCAACTTTAATGTAATTCATCAAGTGAAATGAATGTGATCATTTTTAATTCAACAATTTGAAACAGTTGATAAATATACCACTAAATCACTAATGTAATTACAATAGTATAAATAGTTTGATTGTTTTAGACAAACTGACAAAAGTTTCAGGTCTCAACATAGTGAAATTACAACTTTATCTTTAAGTTGGATTGTTAGGCAACAATCTAATAACAAAAGATTAAATTTGAAGCCCTCGTTACATAATTGAACTAGTTAACAAACTCAAACTAATTAATTTCAAAAGTTTTAGTTAGCTAATAATCACAAAGTGCAAAGTTCGAATCTCACCAAAGATATTAAAAAAAATAAAGAGTTTACACTGATGGTAAATGATATAATAGAGGGTATAGAGGGTAAAGTATGAAAATAAAAAAAAAAATACTAATAGAGAATAAAGTATGAAAAATGAAAAAAAAAATATTAGAACAAAATAATATGAACCATTCATTATACTTTTTAGTTTTCTTTAAGGACCTAACTTTGTAGATATAGATATAGCACGACATATAATCAATAATATTGTATGTAGGACCCTTAGAGTTGGAGATTTAGCCTTTTGGGATAAGATATAGCACGACATATAATCAATAATATTGTATTTTCAAACGAAAAGCTTCTAGAATAAAATATGTAGAGTAGGTTTTAAGTAAACAAGGAAGTTATTCAACATTTTTTTTCCACACAAAAAAAAAAAAAAAAAAAAAAAACAAAAGATGACAAGGATCGGAAGTATAATTGTCAAGTGATTCGACTCATGGTGTCCCATTAACACGCAATAATTACCCAATTAAATTGATAAATGGAATTTTGTAAAACAAATTAATTATTTATGTTAAATCTTTAATATAAAAATATCATATACTCCATACAATTTTTCCCATATTATAATAATGTATATCATTATATAAGGATAAAAAAACATTCACCAAAATCATTTTTTAAATAAATTCATTTTTTAACGCGTCGAGGGGATCGACTAATTCATCGTAACCAATGAATGAAAATAGTTTGACAAAAAACTTGTGTGAGACAAGATTCGGAAGATGGATCAGATCAATATCAAATTTAATAATTATACTGAAAAATGTAATACTAATAAGGACTTATATGAAAAAATATAATACTTTTACATTTTGATTTAAAACTATTATATTTTTCTCCAAAAGTATTACATTTTCCCTTATAAGTAACAAATACTTGCTAACATTATTTATAAGGAAAAATGCAATACTTTTGATTGAAAATGTAATAATTTACATAAAAATGTAAAAGTATTACATGTGTCCTCAAAAGTATTACATTTCCCCCCTCATGAGTGACAAATACTTTATTCCTAATTAGTATTACATTTGTATATTGACCCGACTCATCTTACAGATAAGAATCCGTGAGGCATTCGCACACAAGTGTAACCCAAAGAGCCAATAAAGTTAGGCCCCTAACGGGGACTAAAAAATGTTGGTGTAATTGTTTATTGAAAATTGAAATGAATGGTTCATATTTTTATTTTGATTTTAATATTTTCTATTATTTTCATATTTTACCCTCTATTATATCATTTACTTTTTCTAAATGCTCTTTGTATTTCATCAGTGTAGACTTTAATAATGGAATATTCCGTTAACTATTTATTATTCTTAACTTATTAATTTTCATAAGGAAGGTCTTATGTTCGAACCTCATCCCAATCAAAATTGACATAATTGTTAAACATATACTATGAATATGTTAGAGTTTATTAAAAAAAAATACAATATAAAATGTAACATGAACTTTGGTCAATTACTTAAAATCACGCATTGGGTATTGATGAAATGGTACACCTAGTTTACAATATATATTGAGTTAATACCCAAAATCGTCCTCGACTATAGTGGTTTTTCTCAATTTCGTCCTAAACGACTTTGGTGACCTAATATCGTCCCAGACTTTTGTGTTTCGCTCAATTTAGTCCCAGACTTTTGTGTTTTTGCTCAATTTAGTCCCTCATTTGTTATTCTGTCCATTTGGTGTTAAATAAATAGACAATTCAGTAATTTTAATATTGGCATCTCTTTACTCATAGACATGTGAACTGTGAAATCCTTTTTTTTTTTTTTTACGAATTATTCCCAGAATTACTCCTAAAACTGCTAATATAAAATTTGATTTGCAGGTCCGGGAGTAATTCTGGGTGTAATTCGTACAAGAAAGAGGAATTTCGCACTTCACAAGTTAAAAGTAAAGAGAGATCAATATTGACATTACTGAATTGTCCCTTTATTTAACACCAATTTGACGGAATAACAAATGGAGGACTAAATTGAGCAAAACACAAAAGTCTGGGACGATATTAGGTCACAAAAGTCGTTTAGGACGAAATTGAGAAAAACCACTATAGTCGATGACGATTTTGGGTATTAACTCAATATATATTCAACACAGATGAGAAACTATGACTATTAACATTGTCTTTTTGGGGAAGGATGATTTGGTTCTGTTTTTGAAGGTGCATTGCGCCAAGGCACTAAAATTGTAATGAAGCACACCAGGGGACTAGATCAAATCAAGAATTCATTTCTGGTAGAAGTGGCAACAAGAAGAAGCATAAATCATGCCAATTAATAGAGTTTTGTATTGCAAAAACTATTTTTAGGGTATTATCCAGTGTGGGTGCTTCCCTCTAAAATTGCTATTGCATCCGTTACTCCAACATTTCTGCCACAGGTCATAGTTATGCATTCTTGAAATATTTACTTTTATGAAATTTTTGATAATCTTGCATTGATATACGCAAAATACCGATTGATACTTTGATACATTCTTAAACATTAATTTAAAAATATAATACAAATTGAGTATCAGACTATTCGCGCAATACGCGTGTGGTAACTAGTAATATTTATAATGTAAGGAAAAAGAAAAGTTCTTTATATTTATTTATTATTTAATAGAGGGAAAACTCAAAAAAAATAATCTCATGTTCAGCACTCTATATCAACCTGAACCAAAGTGCACACATTCAAAACCAACTATTTATATTTATTGGTTATAACTTAATAGCCCTGTTTGGTAAAAAAAATTAGACTATAAGTCAATTTTAGTTTATTTGACCACTATTAATTATTTGATTTAATTAAAATATCAATATAAGTGTTTGGTTAATTAGCTTTTAATTGGTAAACAATCATTTCATAAGTAGGTAATACATATAAAATTTATGGTAAAATATTTAATAAACATTATACTTTAATTTAAATAGTAAATTTCTTATATATATATATATATATATATATATATATATAATAATAATAATAATAATAATAATAATAAGTTCCTTCAAAGTTACGTTCTGTCTAGCCCGACCAACTCTTTTAACTTTATGCCTATTATTACTAATCATGCACTTGCAACAAAATGTCTTTTTCGGACTTGACATTGTTTTTCAAGTTACTGTAATTAGTCAACCTTATATCCTTGTTATTCCATACATACTAATTAATTTTGTATTACATTTCTATTCTTTTTAAGTATTACATTTCTAGTTGAAGACAAAGAATAACAATTTTATTCTCTCAATTATTCGTATAAATAATTGTCATGTGTGAGCTTCGCTAGGCACCATGAGATGATTTTGAGGCTATCCGTACTCTCTCACTTTTAAAAATGTGTCCCACTTCAACATCATCAAATTTGTAATTTCTCCACTATTTTCTCAACATCCTTGCAATATTCTCCCACTTTCAAAAGTGGTCAAACTTTCATACTATATTATAAATATAATAATAAAATAACTAATAAAAAAGTATGAGCGGATGGAGCTAGAAAATTTTGTGAGTGGGGGTGAAGTTTAAATAACGTTAGAAATGTCAATTACAAAATATCGAACAGTCATAATAAGGTTAAAATACAAAATACAAAATACATTATAAATTACAATAGAATGTTTTTGATATATTACACGATAGTTAGAGTCGGAGTAAAAAACTGACGGAGCCGCGAGAATATCAGCGGTCGAAGCATCCGCCGGCGCAGCCTCAGCCAAACACGACATGGTGCCGTCAACGAAACCCAGCAGCCCTTGGCTTTGAAGAAAGGGTATGAGCTGAGTACGCCAAAAAAGATAGTTCCGCCGGGATGTTAATTTGAGCGAGACAAAATGATGGGCGAAAGAGAATGAGACATTCGACTGCAACGGAGCCAAGAGAGCAGCCTCGGAAACAGTCCATTCGGATGAATTGCTGACAGAGCCGTCATCAGGAACGAGAGCCTCAATGAGAAGAGTAACCGTGAAACTACTTATACCATATGAGGATTGATATATCTAAATATAATAATACCAAACTGTACAAAGATAATATAAGAATACAATAATACGAGTCCTACCGTAACACAACTACTACTAATAATAGACTCCTAACACCAACCAGTCGAGCTTTCGAAATTAT